GACAATTAAGCCTTCCCCAATTTGAAAAAAAAAAATCAAATGATGGGAAAGTCCAAAGTGATACAGAGAAACCAAGACATGTAGAATTTAGGAGGAATGGAGTACAGTGGGGTGATGGGAGCAGTGTGATTGTGATTGTGCAGGGTGTGTGTGTGTGTTGGGTATAGAGGTTGGCCATACAAGTCGGAAACCTAATATAGAGAGATAACCCCTCTAGATATTTAAAATTTGATTTTTATTACATGTTTGTAGAATTCACTGGACTGCTCCTGGGTTAGCCTACTATAAATTTTCTAATCTATATATATCGACCCCATAACTCTAGGTCTACCTTGATTCAGGTGTGTTATTAAAAGGTGTGTTCCTTGCATGAAGGCAGAAAACCTAGCCAGCTCTCATTACCCTTTTAGGCCACTTGATAGATATGGATAGACACATAGATTGGATAGGATAGATCATTCATCCACATCTTAACTTTCTGTGACTATAGAAAAAGCTTCAACCTAAGTGGGAATGCTGCTGAGAGATTTTTAAAAAGCAGCAGTCAGCCAGAGATGTCTCTTTGGGCCTCCTCTGCTTCTCCTTTGGCCAGAGAGGTACAGGATGATTACGCCACACACTAGCATATGCTCCCTCTGAGGTCATTTCCTATCACTTATTAGCCAGTCTCTGAGTCAAGGCATTCCAAGACACCCAGGAACCATCAAAACACAAGCAAATAATTATTTTTCACAGGAACAATTTTGAGGTTAAATAAGTAAGTATACTACTTCATTACACCACATTTCAGAATTTTGTATCTTAAAACTAAATCGGACTCAGGTGATCATGGTACACACAGAGGTGAGTAAAACAATACGAATTGAGCTTTAACAACTTACTTTTGTTAAATTGAATTAAGTTTGGCCTAAAGCTGCCTTTGTACACGTTTTAAATTTAGTCTAAATGTTTCTCCACACATAGTAAACTGTAACCTAACTTGATGTGCAAATAGACTGTCACCTACTCTTGTAACTTGTAGCCAAGTCTCAGCCAATCACAGCATCCTAAGTCCAGTGAACCACAGGCAGCCAACTGTTCAAACCAGGTTTAAATAAGGCAAACTTGGAGCTTTAACCAATTGGGCTACCCTTGTACCTCACTTCTGCTTTCTGTGTATCACTTTTTCTGTTTATAAATGTTATCCAGCCACGTGGCAGCCCAAGAGTCTCATTGAACCTGCCCTGGTTCCAGGGACTACCTGATTCTCAAGTAACTCTTTGCTCAATTAAACTCTTTAAATTTAATTTGTCTGAAATTTTCTTTTAACATTTTTAAACTAGTGAAATATTAGGGTATTATGTAATGAAAATCACTATACCGATCTTGAAATAGCACAAGACACTATGAAATCTAATAAATGTCATCTCAGAGGCAAGTGCTGACATTAAAGGTATGCACACAAACATTCCTGCAGGACAGAATGCCTACATCTTACATTTTAGATGTAATCACCACATTCTAGTCATCAGTAGCCAGTCAGACTTTTCAATTTTCAAATTTTATCTTCAATATTTCAAAATGGCTTCCAGTTTAAATGCAACTGAAGTTCTAGCAGATAAAAATAATTTTCATATGGCTAACATTTGAAAATGAGGTTTTGTCATTTTGAAACACGTATATTGTACTTGTACAAGTTAAGAGGCTTCATTATAAATGACTATTATTCTGT